AAACGTTGGGTCTTACATTTAAAAAGGCTAAATGTTCTTGGATTTCTTAAAGAATAACTATGTACATTTCGTTTTGGCAGAAGTTTTGTTAATGAACTGTTACTGACCAATGCTGACTTATAGAATTTATAACACAGAAAGTCACGTCTGTCTAGTAGTAAAGGTAATCTTAAGTCGTTTAATCGTTCATCATAACTTTATCCAGGTAGAATAATCTTTGTAGCTCTTCGTTGAATCTGTTCAAAGCGATCTTGTAGATAGGAGGGGAATAAAGAGTGCCACCATACTGGACAAGCATATTCAAGGATGGGTCTGATGAAGCAGGATAGACAGAACGCAGGTCATCTGAACTATAAGCACCGCTACGGCATAGAGACGTTTGCTTGCTTTTCGGCATGTATATTCGATGTGAGTAGTCCATTTAAGCCATACAGCCATACACCTAAGTGTAAGGGGATAATATTATATGATAGGGCATCTAATATCAAAGTATGAACAAAATCGATTTTTTGACCGTTTCCACATTATTTCTGATTTTTGCTTACAGTCGCTTAAATTAAAGAGCATAAAGGAGGAGAAGCCAAGAACCTGGGGGTGATTAACGCTTGCATCAAGGTAGACAATGACCTGTTCCTTCGTTTCTCAGGACAAATTTCGTCTCCCAACAGATCGATTAAATATTGAATTCCTGCTCTTCCAAAGCGATACCTAGACCATGAAATCGGTATACTTAAGAATACCCCGCAAATCCTATGCGGTTCCTCATATGCACATACTTAATGACCATGAAATCTATTGTTCAGTATTGTTGTTATTTGCGGGGTATTCGTGCAACCAAATCACACCATCTGGATAAATGTTATTCGCTGGATAAGGATTTATCTGGTGGATAGCGATTATCCCGGCCTCGTACAACCCGCTCCACAGAGCCGAAAAGTTCAGTCGTACATACAGCTACAACTGTCATGGCAGCTGAGCCTCTTGTTAAACAAGACGAACTGGCCGAAGTCCTTCGTGAATGGGGCGATGAAGAAGACGAAGTCGTTGAGCCAGTACAGCACTCTAGGCCGGATTCAAGAGGTACACGTCAGAGAAATGAGAACGGCTCTCCGCTGCAAGATGTCGATAATCCCAGTGATATTAATGGGACAAAGCCTCCTGGAGAGAGATCTAGCCTTACAGGAAAGCCTTTTTATGCACCATACGTACGATTCTTTAAGGCAGCCAGTTTATTTCTGTCATTTTTGGGCATGGTAAGATATATTTTTAATTCGTACAATAACTTCTAATTTAACAAATTAAACTTTATAAATTAAAAGTGGGAGAATCATTATTCAAGGAGAATTCCAATTTCTCAGTGCAAGGAATTGAGTAAAATTTTTCATCAAAAAGAGAGATAATTTTTTTAACGGTTTTTTAACACCCGTTAAAATATTTTAATTAAGTTAGGACGGGTTGTTAAAGTGTATATGACACGAAAACATTCCATCATTTAAAATGTATAGTTTGTTAGTAATAATAAATATATCGTAA